TTCCGACACGGAAGGTTTTTGAAAGATTTCGGCATGCGCGCGCGACGACGCGCGCGTGTGCATTTCGTCCCTTTTTTGCAAGGGATTCGTGAACATTTGTTATGTTAGAACAAAAAATGTCCCCGCGTATAAGTTTTTTTAACAAGGGAATCTCAGGGGGCCGATACTGGCTCCCCTGGGATACTGAAAATTCATGTTTAGGATGGACATGTGGTCAGAATCATATATGATTTATATACCCGAAAGGGGGGCGGCGAACGCGGGGGGGGGGGGTAGAGTTTATGTTTTTTAAAGAGGAGAATTCACTTTGAGAGTTTGAAATTGTCGATTCCACTGCTCGCGCATCCATCCCACCCACCCACCCGCAATTTGGTTTGCAAAACCCATGCGGAAGCGATTGCGATGAGTGCTTGGTGTTGGCTGGTGCATCTCTGCGGCCGCACTGACCCGCGCATGCTCGCGCGCGCAGCGGCCGGCTAGTTTGGCGTGACCGACGCGAACGCGGTGGCGCTGACCGCTCGGCACATTCCAGCGGGCACTTCAGTGCGAGTCAGCGACTTGGGCGGGCGCGGTATAATGGTAACGTCGACAACGGTAAACACGATGATGGTAGTAGCGATGCTGGTGACGATGCTGACAGCGACGACAGGGCAGCCAGTGACGGTGCCGATGCTGAGAACGCCGACGGCGATGACGGCGTCATCGCGTCGGCGATGAAGGTTTTGGAAGGAGTTCGACATGCGCGCGCGGCAGACGCGCGAGAGTGGCCCGCATGGTACTATTCGACGCGGATCGTGCTACCCCACCACGCGCGCAAGTGCGTTCGAACGAACTCGACACGCGCGCGCGAAGCCTGTTTGGTAGCCTGCTACGAAGGTGTTAACAATCAGTGTTTTTGTGTGCAAAAATAGTCGCAAGAGCGCGCGCAAGTTTTTTGTTTGAAAACCCGTGTTGCGAAACCTGGTGGTTGTATATATTTACGCATATGGACACTAGATTTTGGCATCCTTGCGAAACCGAGTGCTTTAGAACGTTTTCGGCATGAGCGCGCGGCGACGCGCGCGCGTGTGCATTTCGTGTCTTATTTTTGCAAGGGGTTTTTGGAAACGGATGGTTTTTGATGAACGAATGCGCGCGTATAGTATCTTTGTTTGCAGAGGGTGGCCGGGGGGCCGATACCGGTTGTGCTGGGATGGTAAGGGCTCAAATTTAGGACGGACGATGGGGCAAAACCGTATGTACATTGCAATACGAAGAGGGGCGCCGATAATCCCGAAGGGGGGGTCGAGTCTATCATGTCTTAGAAAGGAGAATCGATATTGTGCAATTTACATGGAGCATTATAGGTTGTGCAGCGTATGCGGTGCAATATATGATGATATGTGGTGCGATCTATGCAGTGTAGTAGAGGTAGTACACTCTAGGTGGAGCAATCTAGGTGATGCAATCAATGTGGCGCAAACTATGTTGTGCAATATGGTTGGTACAATGTATGTTGTACAGCCTATGTGGTACACTGTGTGTTGCGTAATATAAGTTGTGAAATACATGTTGTGCAACTTGTGTGGTGCTCTCTCTCTCTCTCTCTCTTTTCTCTCTCTCTCTCTATATATATATATGTATACATACACTCCAGTTCATGTGTGTATACATATATATATATATATATATATATATATATAGGGGGGGGGGGCCAGGGACCCCAGACCCCCCCCTGAAGAATTTGGCCCACCCCGGGCCCATCGGGCAACCATCCAGGCGACCCGGGAGAGCCTCACGAAAGCCCAAAGACGGCCCCGGAGAGCTGCAGGCGTTCCTGCGTGCTCCCGAAGCGACCCCAGAGAGCCCCAAGACGGTCCACGACGACCCCCAAGAAGCCGTCATACCTCCAAAGATCGTTCCAAAACGTCCCAAGAGGCCTCCAAGAGCATTCCCAAGAAGGCCCCAAGAGGCAAAACTCATTGATTTGTTGATGTGGTTTGATGTTGTTTTTGTTTCTTTTCGGCTTCCCGACGCTCCAAGGCGGCGGTCTTCTGGGCGTCCGAAGCTGCCTGGAAGGCTCGAAAATCGGCCCAGAACCATCCGAGAGGGCTTCCGTCCAAGAGAGCCCCAAGACGGCACAACAGGGATCCAAGATGGCCTAAGAGAGCCCCATCACGGCCCAAGATGGCCCCAAGACACCCTCCGAAGCTCTCCATATCGTGCCCTGGTCGTTCAGGGAGACCGCGGTTGGAGGCAGGGTGGCCCAAGGAACCCCCCCGAAGGCCCCCAGAAGACGCCCAGGAGGCCTCCAGAAGGCTTTAAGAAAGCCTGAAACTCTTTTGCGAGGCCCCCAGAGCCTCTCCAAGGAGGAGCCTCCGCAAAAAGAGCTGAGGAGGATGGGGAGAATTCGCAGGGTATGGCGAGAATGAGGAAAAAGAAACATGGAGGAAGGATAACGAAGAACATTATTATAACGGTGATGCCGGAAAAGGCAACAACGAGTTATCGCTAAATTGTAGGTTTGGCTTTCCTGCCACTCCGCTTGCATGCCAAACTATACACAAGACTGCATTGGCGCTTCGCGCCATGCACATTGGTCCTTTGAGTTTCGCGCGCAGGCGGCGTGCGTGCGCGTGTACAGCTGCACATGCAAATGCGCATGCATGTGTACACGCGCACGTGCACGCACGCCACACACATGTATGTGTGTGTGCATACATAGATCTACATTCATGTAATTGCGCATGTATGCATGCATGCATGCATGCATGTATGGACGAATGGGTTGACGTGTGGATGGATTGATGGATGGATGTATGCATGTATGTATGGATATATGTACATATTTGGTGTAATTATGTATATTTATGTATGCGTACGTAAATGTACGTATGGATGTATTCATGTACGCCGAATTATGTGTGCGCGTTCGTTTATTTGGTGTATACGTGTAAATGTCTACGTGTACGTACACACCTGCGCTTTTATATGCATGCAGACGTACATGCGCACGCGGTTGCGCGCGCGGGGGGGAGTTACGCGTAATTAGTAGAAGAGCTTTGGTCTAGCAAAAGCCCAAGGCGTGGTTCATAACGCAATCATGACTGCATCATGCGCTCCCGGGTCTCGTAGTCGCCCCTGCCCCCGCCATGCCGCTCTCTCTCTCTCTCTCTCTCGCTCGCTATATTTCTTTCGTGTTTTTCTCGTACCTCCCTACGCTTCCGTGAGATGCGTGCTTGACCCAGAGCGGGCTGGCACGTAGGTGAGAGAGTGCGTGCAGAACGGTTTTCCTGAGCAATGTGGAGTTTGACGGGGTCCGTCGGAATGAACGCACGACGGGGGGAGAGGAGGGGAAGAAGGAAGGTGAAGGGGAGTAGCAGGACGAGCCCTGTGCGGCCGATGACAGACAGGCAAAAACGCTTAAGAGCGCAAGTCATTGCACGGAGCCCTAAACGGACGCGAATGCAAGATTCTGAGATCTGAGCTCTGAGAGCGCCGAACAACAGAAACACTTGAAAGGGACTGAATGGTTGTCGGTTTTCGTGTATTTTCTGGAGCTTGCTGAGGGCATCGTGGAGGCCTCTTCGGTCGTTTTGGGATTGGGGGTCCTTGAACTTGTTTGGGGACCTTTACGGGCCTCTTGGAGCGTCGCGGGGGCGCCGCGGGAGCCTCTGGGAAGATCCTGGGGCGATTTTGAGGCGGTAGGTTCGACATGTGAGTTTGTGTCACCTTTCCTGCGCCTTGAGGCTGTCTTGGGCCGTTTTGGTCGTGTTGGGGGCCGGCCGTCTGGAGGCCACGTTGGTCGTGATGGTGTGCTTTCGAGCTGTCGACGAGCTATCTTGGGCAATCTTGGGGGCCTTTGTGGACCCTCCGAGAAGGCCAGAGGGCCGAAGGAACCCTCTGCCAGCCGGGGCGCCCGAGCAGCCGGGGGTTGGCTTCCAAGCAGCCCGGGGAATCCGAAATTCGTTCGGGGTGTGGGGGGGAGGGCCTTGTCTGGGGTCCCTGGCCTTATGAAAATATAAAAACAGGGATACGTGTGTGTGTGTGTGTGTGTGTGTGTGTGTGTGTGTGTGTGTGTTGTGCGCCCTATGTGGTGCAATCTCTTTGGCGCATCTGCGTGGTGCAACCAATGCGGCGGCGACAAGGCGGCGACGGGGCGACGGCGGCAGCATAGCCGCCAGACCGACCGTCAGGCGCAGATGACGGGCGGCGACGAGGCGGCGACGGGGCGGCGACAGCGGCAGCATAGCCGCCGGACCGACTGTCAGGGCTAGTTCCTTTTTCCACAACTAAGAGCCCCTAAGCGCAAGCACTGCCTGGGGAATGTATATTTACATGCATATACATCAAGAACGCCGAATCTAACAAACAATCCGCGGAGCATCCTGCTGCTGCTGCTGTTCGTCGTCGTCTCGTCGTCTCCCTTCTCGTCCTTCTCTTCCCTGCGCCTCTCGTTCTCCGCTTTCTCCCTCCAGGTCCTCCAGAGGGTTCCTGCCAGGAGGGTTCCTGAAAAGTTCCAGGGTCTCATGGAAGGTACCTGAAAGGTTCCAGTGGCGTTTGGAAGGTTTCTGGCAGGTGCCAACGGACTCCAGGAGCTCCCTTGAGGGTTCCTGCATGGCTCCAGGGGCACCTGAGGGTTCCTGGAAGGTTCATGGCCACCATGGATGGTTCGGCAAGTTCCAGGGGTCCCCAGAAGGCTCCTGGAAGGCCCCAGGACCCCCCAGAAGGGGTTCGGGGAAGGCTCGTGGAACGTAAAGGTGGCTCAGTCATTTGCAACTTGGAAGTTGCCCGTCGCGCTGACCTCGGCCAGGAGGACGTAAGCACCATGTCATGGCCCGGGATGGCCAGATGGCTCCTGCCAGGCATGGCGGTCTTTGTGTGTCTGTGTCTGTGCAATGCTCATTAGCTGCCTCGCTGATCTTTCGATGTGTTGGACCAACCAGCGAGGAAGCACCTCCAGTGTTTGTGTGCCTTCTGCGTGTTCGGGGTTGCTGCCTGTCCTCTCCTTCGCCGACCAGGCCCGCGAGGAGAACCTCGGTGGCGACCTGAGCGTCGAGGACGAGATGCTTCTCAGGAGACCGCGTTCCCGACCCCCCAGCTCACCCTTGCGGTCAGGAACTTTTGCTTAGCGTGTCGCGCCGCCGGTTCTGGCCCACCACGCTTTAGCGCGACACGCTACCCACGTCCCACTCCCCAAGCGTCAACCTCCCGAGCGCTTGATGATTGAGAGCAGGGGTGCGATAATTGATATGATAGGTGATGGCGAGCGTGATGATGCTGATGATGATGCTGATAATGATGATGATGGTGGTCACTCTGATGACAAGATAGCTTGATATGATGACGAGCACGACGAGGCAGCGCAATAAGATGAGGGTGATGATAGCGGCAACGGCGAATACGAGAACGAAGTTCACGATTAATAGCATGATGATGGCCGTCGTGATGACGATGGGTGACGACGATGGCGTCAGCGCCCTCGATGTGGATGATACTGATGACATGTTTGATGACTCGAATGGCGATAACTATGACGATGTGTGTGTGACGATGGCGATGGCGGTTATGCTGGTGTTGTTGATGACTATGATGATGGTGATGATGACTATCGTGTTTGTGGTGGTGGTGCTATTGATCGTTATCGTGGGAAGGAGCAGTGGAATGACGAGGATGGCATGGTTGCTGATAATGGTTGCGACGATGGCTCTGGCGATGATGAGGATGATTTTGATGTCGATTGTGCTGACAATGAGCTTGGCGATGATGAGGATGACGACGTGACGATGGTGATGGTGACGATGATGATGATGATGGTGATGATGATGATGATGATGATGATGGTGATGATGATGATAGTGATGACGATGATGATGACGATGAAGATGCAGGTGATGACGACGATGATGATGACGATGATAACGACGATGATGACAATGATAACTAGGATTATGATGCTGATGATGATATTGATGGTGATGATGATGGTGGTGCTGATGATGTGATGATGTTGGTGATGATGGTTTTGATTATGATGAATCTGGTGATGCTGATGCGGATTCTGATGATGATGCTACTGGTAAAGGTGCCACGGATGACGATGCTGATGGTGATGATGATGATGATGATGATGATGATGATGATGATGATGATGATGATGATGATGATGATGATGATGGTGATTATTATTATTATTATTATTATTATTATTATTATGGTGATTGTGATGGTGATGATGATGGTGATGAGTATGATGAGCAATTCTAGACGCTTCGCGTATCCCCACCAGTGATCCGCGGCCCCGCGCGCGTTAGGTAATTTAGTCGCGTCCGCGGCCCGTTCGCGACCTCCCGCCGCTGGCGCTTCCGCCTGCTGCTGTAAACAAAAAAAATAATATCCCCACCAGCCCGTCCAGAAACGACGCCCAGGCGAGTAGAGGGTCGTCCTGAGGGGCTTTTCGGCGTCTTGGGTGCCTCGGGGCGGCCTCTGTGGGCCGTTCGGGATCCTCTTTCGGGCCTCCTGGGGGCCTCTTGGGGCCTCTTGGGGCCATCTTGGGGCCTTTGGGGCCTCCTGGGCGCTTCTTGGGGCCATCTTTGCCCCTTGGGTGCCTCTGGGGGGTCTCTTGGGGCCTCCTGGGGGTCTCTTGGGGGCCTCCTTGGGGCCTCTTGGGGGGCCTCTTGGGGCCTTGAAGGCCCTGCTGGGGCGCTCTTGGGGCAATTTTGGAGGACATCGGCCAAGGAAGTGGGGTTCCTTAATCAGAGCCCCCCCCCAGGAGCTCCAAAAATCGTTTCCTGGACCCCTCTTGGATCGCTCTTGGAGCGCTCGTGGCCGCTCTTGGCGCCATCCTGAGGCTCTCTTGGGCCCCTCTTGGAGCTATCTTGAGCCATCTTGGAGCCATCTTGACGCGTCGGATGTGCATCGCAAGCGAAAAAGTGAGAACACCAAAAACATTGATTTTCCCTAAGGTTTTGAAGCATGTTCGCCTCTTGGATGCGTCCTAATGATGCTCTTGTGGGCACTTGGAACCGTCTTGGGGAGTTCTTGGAACGTCTTGGAACATCATGGGGACCATCTTGAGGCATCTTGCGCTATCTTGAGCCATCTTGGAGGGTATCTTGGGCTCCCTGAGGCCCTCTTGGAGCCGTCTTGGGCCATCTTGGGCGCTCCAACGCGCCGCGGAACCCCCTGTCCAGGTCAGTGGGGAGGGGGTAGGGGGAGGGGTAAACCCCTCCCCGAAGGGGAAGAAGGAGGGGTGGAAGAGGAAACGCTCTAAACCACCGACGCCCAGAGGGCTGGTGGGATTTGACCAGCATGACGCGATGGATGAGGACGAGCGTGGGACGGTACAGAGGAGGAGGAGGAGGAGGAGGAGGAGGAGGAGGAGGAGGAAGAGGAGGAGGAGGAGGACCAGTGCAAACCGAAGGCTCATCCATCATATTGCAATGTACCCTCCTTCCAAGTTCGCTCTTTGATTTGTCCTACCAGGACATATTGTCACTACGTACGGGAAGTGGCCCGTTGGAAGACAACCTCTTGGAAATCTCCAACCATGCCAAAGCACCATTCCTGTGATTCCAACGCCACGAATCAACGTCACTGTTGCGCCCCGACAGTCAAGAATCGTGCCACAACACCATTCACGGGACTTGGACGCCGCAAATCAACATGATTGTGGTGTTTCGACAATCCGGAACCGCGCCAACACATTATCATGGGGACGTTAACCACATGAATTCTTGCAACGGTTGAGAGCTTTGGAGACGAAGGTGCGCGGCGTTACGGCGAGAGCCACATTCCCCAATCAGTGCTTGCACTGAAGGGGTCCTAGCGGAGATTGTAGGATTTGGCGAAAGTTCCGCGCCGATTTCGGTAGGCGGCCAGGTTCCTGGGTTCCCAGTCCCGGGCTCCCAGGTTCCATTTCCGAGTTTTGGGCCGATTTCGGTGGGCGGCGGGGTTCCTGGGATCTCGGGTTCTTGGTCGATATTCTTATCGACCGGTCTCACCATCGATCTCATCGCCCACCTCTCTATCGACCTCACCCTCGATCTCACCATCGATCTCGCTATCGATCTCACAATCGATCTCATTATAGATCGCACGAGCGATCTCACTATCGATTTCATTGAATGGACTTCACTATCGGTCTCACGATCGAACTTACAATCGTTCTCACTATGGATTCCACGATCGATCTCACAATCGCGGTTCAATATCCATATCACTAGTTTTCAAACCACCTTTCGATTGGGGTTTTTCTCTGGTGGAATTTTGAAAACGGCCCGCCCTCCACCAGTGAAGCTCCGGCAAACTTCGAAGACGACGAAATGTGCGCGGCGCTAAGGCGAGAGCCACACTTTGAAAACGGCACGTCCTCCACCAGTGAAGCTTTGGCAATCTGTTAAGACGAATGTGCGTGGCGCTGAGGCGAAAGCCGCGTTTTGAAAACGGCCCACCCTCCATCCGTTAAGTTGCTGCAGAGTCCAAGCCTCAGGATTATGCATTTCAAGGAAGTCTCAAGCGAAATACCCGGTCCGCCTTGCCGACCCGTCTCGGGGTGTAGCAGGGAGGAGCCAGCTAAAGTATAAGGAAGAGGATTGAAGAAGGAGGGGGGGGGGGAGGCGGAGGAGGAGGAGGAGGAGAAGGAAGAGGTTCGATAGATAGATGGCGAGTGGGACGGATGATGATGAGGAGGAGGAAAAGGAGGAGGAGGAGGACGAGGAGGAGGCGGAGTTGAAGGAGGGGGAGGCGGAGGGCGGATGATGATGATGATGAAGAGAAGGAGGAGGATGGTGTCGTGGATAGATGGCGGGAGTGATGGAGGAGACGGAGGCGGAGGTGAAGGCGCAGAAGGAGGAGGAAGAGAACAAGGCGGAGGATGAGGAGGAGTGTGGGGGGGATGGATGGCGAGAAGGACGGATGAGGAGGAGGAGGAGGAGGATATATGCATGGGTGTAGAGAAGGCAAGCGAGAGAGAGAGAGAGAGAGGGAGAGAGATGGGGGAGAGGAGGGGGACAGTGGGATGTCGAGGCAGGAGGCTGGAGAGGGGGAGGGATCGAGGGGAAGGAGGAGGTGGATGACGACGGGATGGAAGGTCTGGGGTTGGAAGGGGGAGGTGGATGATGATCGCTTGGTGGCGGGGGAGGACGAACGGGAAGGTGACGAGGAGAAGCGGGAGGCAAAACCCGCGTCATAGGCACTTCTGAGCCAGTCGCGGGGATCATGAGGAGGATGAGGGGGTGGATAAAAGGGAAGGGGAGGATCGGGCAGTAAGCACTACCGTCGACAAAATTAACCTCAAAAGTGGATTGCGCGATTCGATGATGTGTCTGACGTTCTGGGTCTGGGTGGCATTGCGTGCGAAGTACTTGTTGGCGCCCCCTCTCCAATGTCAGTCATCGCGAAACTTCCTTGTCGCGCTGGCCCAAGCCGCGTTTCGCTCTGCTCCGACTTTGAAGGGGGCGACGTTGACGGGGTGAAAGGGGGCGACATTGCAGGAGCGCGACAGCAACTGTTGAGGATAGTTTCGCTGAGGGGTTGGCCGCGCAGAATGAATGCTCGGGCGATCCGACCGGGAAAGACTGTGTGCGGCCTCGGCCCTCGCTCATCTCGATTTCAAAGGTATAGCAACTGCCGCCACAAAAAGCGTTCCGTATGGATTATTATCATTCCAGAAGGACCCGCAGTTGTTTAGATAGTTGCTCGTTCCTAGATATGAGAACTCGTTCCATGCTGAAGAAACCAGAAATACTTGAACAGCTACGTGTGCATCCGATGTATAAAGTTCTCCCAGTGCGACCCTACCTAGGAGTTGGAACCCCTAGGAAAGCAGCATTAGTAGTAACAGTAATGCTAAGCTAAAGCTAAGCCAAAGCTAAGCCACAGCTAAGCTAAAGCTAAGCTAAAGCTAAGCTAAAGCTGAGCTAAAGCTAAGCTAAAGCTGAGCAACAGCTAAGCTAAAGCTCAGATACAGCTAAGCTAAAGCTAAGCTAAAGCTAATCTAAAGCTAAGCTAAATCTAAGCTACAGCTAAGCTCAAGCTAAGCTAAAGCTAAGCTAAAGCTAAGCTAAACGCTAAGCGAAAAGCTAAGCGAAAAGCTAAGCGAAACGCTAAGCTAAAGCTAAGCTAAAGCTAAGCTAAAGCTAAAGCTAAAGCTCCCAGGGGACTGGGGGGAACCGCTCCCAGGGGACTGGGGGAACCGCCCGGGGCGTGTTCCACTGCCCGGCCCCTTTAAGCTAAGAGAGTAAGAACCCTTCTAGGCAGAGCCTAGGTAGTGAAAAACAAACTTGGACGCAGCTGGTGGCCTTAGTTGATGTGAACATATACTCCCAGCGGCCCTGGTGGCACCGCTGCGTATTAGATTCTATTGGTCCCACCCCTCCTGCGCAGGTCGCTTAGGCTCGAGCGGCAGCCTGGTTCGGGAGCTGGTATCCGCTACCTCGCTCGGATACACGAACGGCGGCATTGAGAATCATGCGGGGGAAATGAGACATGCTATGGGTCATGCGCGATGAAGAGTTCGGAGCGAACTGCAGTCGACAGATGAACCTCAAAAATGGGTCGCGCGATTCGATGATATATTCGATGTTCTGGGTATGGGTGACTCTGCGTTCAAAGTACTTGTTGGCCCCCCCTCCAATGTCGGTTACGGAGGAACTTCCTTGTCGCGCTGGTCAAAGCCGCGTTTCGCCCTGCTCCGAGATTGAAGGAGCGGCGTTGACGGGGAGGAAAGGGGCGACATTGCAGGGGCGCGTCAACAATTGTTGAGGTTATTTTTGTCGCGGGTTGCAGGATGATGAACAGGAGGACGAATTGCAGCAGCAGCAGCTGCAGCTGCAGCAGCAGGACGAGCAGGAGGATATGCCACGCGAGCAGCGGCGCGCGGCACGCAGGAGCCAGCAGCCGCGGCTCGGCCGGTGAGGGCGCCTCTTTCGGGCGCGGCCAGCGGGTTCCTCAGCCGCGGCGCCCGCTTCGGCCCGCCAGCGGGGAGGGAGGGGATGAGGGGATGAGAGGGGTGAGGGGGATGAGAGGGGTGACGGGGCTGAGGGGGATGAGGGGGATGAGGATGAGGATGAGGATGCGGACGAGAGTGATGGTGATAAGGCTATGCTGATGATGAAGATGATGTTGTGATGATGATGCTGCTGATGATGATGATGCTGTTGCGGCTGATGCTGATGCTGATGCTGATGCTGATGCTGACGATGATGGTGGTGGCGGTGGTGATGTTGATGCTGACGGTGGTGCTGATGGTGATGATGATGACGTTGATGACGATCAGGATCCTTAGTATGAGGATGAGGATGATGAGGATAACACTGATGATGGTATTGATGATGATGGCGATGATGGCGATGATGATGACCCTGCTGATGATGATGATGGTGATGATGGTGTTGGTGATGGTCATGGTGATGCTGCGGATGATTCTGATGCTGGTGGATGTCGCGTGATGATGCTGATGATTTTGTTGTTGCTTTGCTGATGTGGAGGATGGGGAGGAGAAGGAGGAGGAGGAGGAGCAGGAGGAGGAAGAGGAGGATTGTGGTAATGATGATGATTGCGATGATGATGGTGATGATGCTGTCGATGATGATTATGATGCGGATGCGGGTGATGATGCTGCTGTTTATGATGATGCTGTTGTTGATGATGATGAAACTGATGATGATGGCGACGATGACGATGATGAAATACAACCCTCAAGAGTTGGGGTTATGTTTGGGCCCCTTGAGAGCGCCGCCGTTCGGTTCCGTAGGTGTGCGGCTCAAGCGGCGTTTGTTGTTGCTTCGTTTCGCCCGCACAGTGAGGGGCCTGGGGGGATGCGTTGAGCATGGACGGGGTGTCGCCCCCAGGCCTCTGGCTCGCCATCAGAGTTTTCCCCAGGTTGCGAGCCAGAGAGGCCGCACACCTTCTATGTTCACAGCTGCCGCCGCCCAGGTGGCCCTCCTTGTGGGGCAGCGCTTCCGACATCAGGTGACCCACCCCGTCGGATCGGACAACGGCCCGATCTTCGGGGCCGTGCGGCGACAGCTGTCGGACAGTGGTGGAGGTACAGCGAATGGAGACGAGCACTTCGGAATCAAAGAATATCTAGCTTGGTGGTTGGGCGCTGGCCAGGAGCAGGGCGACAAGTTCTGTTTGCACGTGTGCGAGGACCTGCTCTCAGCCTGCGGGTACAGACCACCGTGGCCCGACATGCAGGTCCTGCACGCGGCAGTCCCTCTCATGTTGATGACGTCGCGTGCGGCCGACTACCACATGGAGATGTCGCAGGAGAACGAGGAGCCTGGCACTCCACGTGCTCTGGCTCGAGCTGCTCTCGCTCAGGCTGCTGCACCTGCGGTAGACAAGTCTGCTGCGGGAGAAGGAGGCCCCCTGCCTGCCCCGCGCAGTCGACCCGCGGCGGCCAGTGGAGAGTCCGCTGTCGTGAACGTTGAAGCGGACGGCGAGGACGTTGACAAAGCTTTCGGGGAGCTGAAGCGTGAGTTGCAGGCGCTGGAGGGCAGGGTCGAAACTTGCGACCCGGGGGCGAAGGACGGCTTCCATTCGCGCCTGGGCGTGCTGGAGGCGCGGCTCGAGGAGTCTAGGAAGCGCGGAGCCCCTGGGGTCGCGGCCGCCAGCTCCGCCGCTGAGCCAGCCAACAAGGCTGCTGGCAGGAAGAAGCTGGAACAGGGCGAGCTGATTCAGAGTCGTATCGCGAGTGCAAGTCCGCGTCATGTTGCGGAGGATTGTGGCTCAGCTGGGCCTGCTGTTGCCTCCTCAGGCGAGGGGGCGGTCTTGCGCGTGACGGCGGGCTGCTGTCGCAAGAAGGACAGCGTGGACTCCGCGGACCCCATCGAGGGCGACGAGGAGCAGGTCATCGGAGACAAGACCATCGCTGCTCGCCGCCTCACCTACAAGAGGATCGCGCGGAAGAGTCCCTGCCTCCTTGCCGAGAAGGAGGTGGAGAGCATGGCTTAGCATTTGGACATCGACGAGGACGGGGATCCTGGACCGGCGCGAGCGGTGGCCGAGAAGTTCCTGTTGCATGTCTTGCGGCCCTCTCGTGCAATCAGGGTGCTCGGCAAGGACATGTGCAGGGTGCTGCGGACGCTGTGTGAGTGGGCCGACCTCATCGTCAAAGGTAAGCCCATGCCCTCCTTCGACTACATCGGTTGCAGCAGCAGGGATATGCAGAGGCGCTTGAGGACGGCGAATTTGTTCGAGTTGACCCCTCCCGACAGCGGCGGCCTCAGCTTGTCGTTTGTGGACGAGGAGATGGTCATAGGCATAGTGGCGGCGGAGGTGAAGATGGCTTAGTTGCTGGGCCGCTTGGGATCTCGCGGCTACTGCGTCTGTCGGGATAGAGGCGCGGGTTCGCCTGCCCGTCCTGATCGCCAGAGCCGCGGCGATAGCACAGCCCCCAGAGCCTTGCCGACCACGGCTGTCGGCGCGCCAGCAGACGCAGCGGCGCTTCGAGAGCGGCTTGGCCAGCGACTCCCTGCAGGACGCCAGCCGGCTGTCCAGCCGGCAGCCGCCGCGAGGGCGCCGGGGGGATGTCTTAACGCTGACGGACTACCAGGGCCCCCCAGGCGATGGGCGGACCGATGCTGTCAGCGCGGGCGCCGGCTCGAGCGGGCATGTCTCGGGCCGAGGGGGAGCCGACGAAGCAGCTGAAGAAGAGCGTCGCGCGAGAGTTGTTCGAGGGGCTGGCTGATCCGAAGAATGCGCCTCGAAGCGGCGGCCCCGCGCAGCGGACCGACCGACTGGCGGTCTGAGCGGAGGGGCGGCGGCTGTCGGCGATGTACAGGCCCCGCCGGGGATATGCCAATGGTGGGCTGGCGCCGCCTCCCGCATGGGCCGAACCCGCAGCAGCAGGATGACGAAATGGAGATCGGCTTCGGGGCATTCGCTCATGTGAGAGAGCCCCCGAGCTCTAGCGAACGTTTCTGAGACCTGTTCCCCAGAGGCGACGCGTCGCAATCGCCTGAGGCTGGTCTGGAGCGAGACGTGCTACCACTGCCAGTGAGGGAGCCGGCACCTTTTATCAGCCTGGGAACGTAATACGATGGCGAATGCTTTGCTGAGTGGCGAGGGGCCCCCTGCCGGTTGGGCGTCGAGGGCGGATTTCCAGAGACTGGAGGCCCAGGGGATGACGATCCAGGTCTGGGTTGTCTGCAGCAGCGTGGTTCTCGACTACCTCTATCTCGGCCACCTGAGCGCGGGCGGCGGGGAGGCTGCAGGGGCCTGCTCACAGGCCCGGCCCGCTGGCCCACGCGCGATCGGTGAGACGGTCGAGAGGCGCGTCGGGAGCTCGCTGGAGGAGGTCGAGATGCCTTATTGGCCGCAGGAGATGATAAAGAACAGGGCCAGCTGCAACCTGGATGAGGACTACCGAGCTTTGCTGCTCAACTTCAAGGAGCCGGAGCCGAGTTTACCCGAGGCGGAGGACATTGGCCGCCTGGATGTCCTCGGGCAGGTCGGGGCCGACCTGAGAGAGCTGCTGACTAAGCCAGGGCTCCCCTTGCTGCCCGAGGCAGAGTGGCCGACTACTCCTCCGCGGGTGAAAGTCAATGTCGAGCGCCTCGAGGACTGGTGGGTCACAGCCGCGAAGCTGATGGAGCTGGGGCTGTTGAAGAGCAGTGATGCTGGGCGGTTTCCCCGAGTTCAGGGCAGGCGGCTGACCCGCGGGCTCTTCGTTGTCACGAGGAATGGCAGCCCAGGCGCTGGGGCTGCTAGGGCGACAAGGTCGATCCCGAGCATGGTGACCACTCGCGCTTGCCTGCGCCCACTGGCCGGCGATTCGGCCACGCTGGTCGCCTCGCCTGCCTGGGTCAGCATGTCGCTGTAGCCCAACGGGCTGCTGATCGGGGGCGGGGGCGACCGGAAGGATGCCTTTCTCGCGTGCAGGTTCCCCGGGCATTGGCTGGGCTACATGATGGCGCGCGTGAGCGCCCATCGACGTGTCGCACTGGTGGAAGAACCGGCGGGCGCTGAGCTGGCGCCCTCCCGCGAGCGGAGAAGGGGCCGCCCTGTTCCTGCGGCGGAGGCGGGCCCCTTCGCGAGCGATGGTGTCTGCGCCTGGTGGTGTACCTTTGTTGACGGCAGGCTGGGGAGGGGCTCAGCGGGGGGGCCGCGCTACCCTTGGTCGGCATCCCTGGCCGCCTGCAGGAACAGATGAGGAGGAGCGACGCAAGGGACCGCGTCCCCATCAGCGTCCACGAGGCAAACTCGCGCGCGCGTGGAGGTCGATGGATCAGCAGGCTGGGCGGCGAACAACCGAGTGAGGAACATGCCGCTGCATGGGCGCACCCTGTGGCTCCTCGCGCGCGGCCAGCCCTCGTGAAGCCAGCTCCGGATCTTCTTGGACCGTTGCGCATGAGCGCTGGAGTGCAGGCGGCCCCCCTTTGGAGTCTTCATTGTTGTCTGGGAGCTGGCCGCCTCAGGATGCGCCGAGCTGCCGAAGGACTGCCTTGGTGAACGGGTGCGCGCCTGCTTGCCGCTGCCTTTGGCGTCGACGAACCTGAGGGCGAGAACCGCCGGCAACGTCTCGCTCTCGGATGTCAGCGAGGAGGGGCCGCGCGCGCTGCTGGTCAGCTTATTTGACGGGATAGGCGGCCCAGTGTTCTCTCTGGTGCGAACTGGGGCCACCGTCGACGGCTACATGACCAGCGGGGTTGACGAAGGCGCTGGGCGCGTGCCACGATCGCGCTGGTCAGCGCTGATCGAGCTGGGGCCCGTGGAAGAGATCCAGGCGGAGCAGCTCGAGGCCTTGACCTTGTTCCAGGGTCGCATCGAGGCTTCGATTGGCGCTGGAGGCAGCCCTTGCCACGATGTCAGCGCCATAGACGCAGATCGGCGATGGGGCCCTTAGCGATCGGAGCGGCCTGGTCGCGCGCATAACCCGAGATAGTGCGCGCATTGACTCAGGCGATGCA